GACCCTTCGCGGATTCGCAGCAGCGATGGTGTAAGTGGCAGACGCCTAGTTTGCTGTGCGTCGCTTTCCAGGTGGACAGTCGGCGGAAGCTCCGGCAACCAGGGTTTGGGAGGCCGTGACGACAGCGACACCTATGCGTGCTCGCGGTTTCTGCCAGAATTTGTACCACCAACCGCCAGGATCGCGGCATTCGACAGCATGACACTCCGGCGTTTGTGGCGTCATTTGTTGTCACTTGGGGACCGCCTTGGATACATGGCCGAATGGGACGCCAAACACACCAGTCGAAGACTTAATCCAAGCACCGCAGTTTTATATACCGGGTGTTTTTGCGAAGAATTTCGAAAATCCTAAAAATTAGGGCGATTGAAAAAAGTAGAAACTCTCTTCGGGAACAAACTACCAGCCACGGCGGACGTCAGGAATTGCCAAAAACCTACTAATTAGCCAAATAATTAATTAAAAGTTGTTAATTAACTTTTTAATTAGGGGAAATAGACATATGGTTTCAATTAGAAAGTTGCTGAGCGTTATCGAAAACCACTAAATCAGTCATTTTCAGAAAGGCTTTGAGCGCGTGAGACGAGTAGTAGCGCTCTAAAGTTACCACTCGTGGCCTTAGTTTTTGTGCTCCAAAAAAGGGTTTTCAGCGTCTTTGTCAAGTTTTCATTTACATATATCCCTTCCTCTTTCAAGGAAAAACGTTTCTTGATCCACATGTCCCTGGCGCTTCTCTGGGTGAATTTGACTAAAATGGAAGCGATTCTCCCCTCTCTGGCTCTGAGTCTATGTGCCGTTTCGATGGTTTGACTTGTCGGAGATGGGAGGTCAAGCCTCCTGGCTAGGTCAGTCACAACCTCTACCAAGTTTTCGTTTTCACTTCCTTTGACCCCATGTATCGCAATGTTTTTACGCCTTGAGTACTGCTCTGCGTTGTCAATAGCAATCTTGAGGCTCAGGATTTGCTTGTCCCTTTCAAGAATTAGTGCCTCGAGATGGTTTGTTTGCTTATTTAGCTCCTCGATGAGTTTTGCCTGACTTTGGGAGTTCGCAAGTATCTCCCGATACTGCGATGATAGCTGGTTGACGGTTGTTTCCACTCCCTCAACCTTTTTCTCATTTTGATTTAGTTTTGTGGTAATGCTGTCATACTTCGGTCCATGCGCTTCTAAGGTTTTCTTAATTTTTTCTATCCTATTCAGCACTGTAACCAGAGATGAGTTCATTTCAGAAATTTTCGCCGTCAAAATGTCGAGACTAAGTTCGTACGAACTCTCAGTCGCTTCTTTACTTGGCCCAGAAACATCATCGTTCGACCCAACCGACTACCTTTGGCGGTGGAGTTAACAAGTGTTGCAATTCCAAGAGTTCAGATCTACCGCTGACATATCTTTCAATGTTTTTTTCCCAACGCCGGAACACTTTGCAACGTGATACTGGTTTGAACATTCCGCACATTTTAAATGAAGACAGTCAGGTGACACGGCTTTAAGGCAAGCTAGGCAATCGTTTTCCGACGACATGTTACATACAGGGCAGTCCAGCGGAATGTTAAAGAACCTACAGTGAGGAAAAAATGCCGGAACCTTACCCAAAAGAGCAAGGCGACAGTCTTACACACTGCAGTTCTCATTCCGCCGGACTGCAGCCTGCCGAACCGCCGTAGTTACTTTTATAGCCCTTCCTGGTGACGTAGTTGCCCCGGGCATGCGTCGATGCTCCCCCCGATGATCTTGATACGGCTGTGGTGTATGGAGGACATGGAAGCACGCACAGGATGCACATCGTCAACTTTTTTCTTTTAACCCTGCAGTTTTTGAGCGGGACGGCCTTCGGTCTCCGGCCTGGCTTCATGGGAGGGAACCTGTCTGGAACAAGGGATCCTACCGACCTGGATGGCATCTCTCCTTTCATCAACGTTTGTACCACAGGCGAAGACAAGCGTCAGGCAACCGAGGCAATCAACTTTTCCGTCATCAACCAGCTTCACCTCGGTCACCGCGACATCACTATCCGATTTGCAAACAGCGTCTACTTCTATGTCAACTTAACAATCAGCACGAGGCAGAAAGTGGTTTGGCCTTTTTCAAGTGTTTTCGTTTTATTTACAAACATTCGCAGTCTAATCCGTAAGCGAGATGAATTGTGCTCAGTTGCTGACTCATGCGACGCCGACGTCATTGCTCTCACAGAGACATGGCTTTCTAGCAAAGTATCTGATAACGAGCTGTTTCATTGTAAAAAGCGTTTCAATACATTTCGCTGCGATAGGCGTGACAGAAGTGGCGGTGGTGTTTTGTTGGCGGTTGCTGACTTATTGGTTTCTCGCCCTGTCATTGTAGCCTGTGAACTGGAGATTGTTTGGGTTTGCGTTTCCTTTAAACATAAACAAACGATAATGGGTGTATGTTATCGACCACCCACTAGCAGTTGTTCATTTGTGAATTTGTTACATAATTGCATTAACCAAATAACAGTCCAATATCCAGGAATGCCAATCATATTAATGGGTGATTTCAATTAACCCTACATTATCTGGTCTAATGTATGTCCTGTTTCAACCCCCTTCTCATCTGAAGCTATCCAGTTTATTTAACTCTGTTCTGATTTTAACTTTCCTCAACTTGTCTCAGAGCCCACTAGGGTTACAAACCTTTAATCAAACATACTCAATCTCGTATTAACAACGCATCCAAGTGTCATATCCTCACTAACATACCTGCCATGTCTCAGTGACCATTCAGTTCTTCACTTTTTCTTAAATATCCCATTCGTAGCGCCTGAAATTCACATAAGATTAATCCGTGACTACAGCAGAACCGACTTTACATCAATTAACTTGTACCTGTCCGAGTTCCTTAGTGATCACTTACCTGAGTTTTCAGGGCGCTCCGTTGAGTCTAATTGGGTGTTGTTTAAAAATGTTGTTTTATTATTAATTGAAAAGTGCATACCATCGAGGAAGATTCGTTGCAACACTAACTCGCCTTGGTTTAACTCTAATCTCAGGCGCCTGCGAAATAGAAAAAAAAGACTGTTTCGCGCTGCCAAACGATTCTCCGCTGATGCACGGTGGGCTGCGTACAAAACTGCAGATCAAGAATATACATCAGCTCTTACAGAAGCTAAATCACATTTTTTTAATCATACACAGAATATCATGCTAGCAGCTAATCCTAAACAATTTTGAAATGTGGTTAATCCCAAGTGTCACTCCAACATTGTTCTTCAATCATCTGACGGTTGAGATATACCAGTAACTGAAAGTGCAAGTGTATTAAATGGTGTTTTTAGTTTGTCATTTACAACCTCTGATGTGAACCAAGTACCGGTATTGTCATTTTCTGATTTTTTTTTGCCTATGAACCCAGTGGCAGTTGACGCGATTGGTATTGCTGGCATTATTAATGTTATGAAGCTTTCATCCTGCGCTGGATTAGATGGGATTAACAGCAAATTCTTAAATAATTGTAATATGTATTGTTCAATAATTCTTTCAAAACTGTAGTGTTTGTATTCCGATAGCAATCAGCTATGTCATCGCCACGTGTCTAAGCTAGGGCGCCGCCCCCCTTCCCTCTCGTCCTCTTTGCTGATATAAGCACAGCACGGCTTTTGACACGGGGAGTGTTTTAGGACCAGCGGTATGCGCGGTCTTACGGCTGGCTGTCAATAAAACCAAGTTGTTGTTACTACTCGGCTGGTGTCCCACTTCCAAGACACAACAACTTCTTGGCGACGAGGATGGGATGACGCAGACTGATGAGCACTTCGACGGGGACCGTTAAGACGGAGAATCAACCAGGCGTCCAAGAAGGACCACACTCGGAAGCATCCAGGATGGCCACGATTGGGCAAGTAGAACCTTTCGATGAATCTCAGTCAGATTGGGAAACATACGAAGAAAGGATTAATGCATTCCTACGAGTAAATAAGATCTCGGACGCCAACAAAGTAGATGCCTTCCTGAGTATTGTGGGTCCGAAGACATACAAGTTATTGAAAAGTTTGACCGCCCCGAGCACGCCGGCTAGTCAGCCGTTGTCGGATCTGCAGAGAGCATTACGAGAGCATCTTTCGCCCAGACCATCAGTTATCGCGGAAAGAGCAAAGTTTCACCGAAAAACACAACAAGAAACGGAGAGTATTGCGGAGTTCGTGGCGGGCCTTAAGCAATCGGCAGAAACATGCAACTTCGGAGCGAACCTCGAAGAAACTCTGAGAGACAGATTTGTATGTGGGCTGGCCAGGACTGACATTCAAAAGAGGCTTTTTGTTGAGGACGTGTCTCTGACTTTCAAAAAGGCGGTAGAGATCGCATTATCAGTAGAGGCAGCTACTAAGAACGTAACAGAGTGCCGGCCTAGCAGGGCAGTCAAGGAGGATTTCCAGAAGTTTTCTGCGGAAGGAGTCCGGGCACGGGACGGTTCACCGTGCACGCGATGCGGCTTGCGTCATCGTAACCGTGCTTGCCGATTCCGAACAGCAACCTGTTTTAGATGCCACCAAGTTGGGCATATTCAGAAAGTGTGCCACTCACAACCGACGTCTAGTTTCCAACCTTCGAGAGCGCAAGGTCAAGACACACAGCGAAAAGACGCCCGGAGACAAAACTTCGCCGTGTTCGAGACCGAGGAGGACGTCGAGCCACTGCTTCAGGCAACGCTCGAGAAACCCCGTCATGGACCCATATGCTTTACGATGTGTGTTCAGGGAGTGCCGCTTAAAATGGAACTGGACACGGGATCAGCAGTGTCTGTGATGTCGCATCAAGTTTTTCGGTCGTGTTTTCCGCAGATAAAGTTACGGCCGGCTACGGTGTTGCTGCGTACGTACACAGGAGAGTGCGTGCGCCCGAAGGGTGTGGCGACGGTAACCGTGGAGCACCAGCACCAGCCTTACCAGCTGCCTCTGCACGTTCTCTGCCAGGAGGGCCCTGCTCTCATAGGAAGAGACTGGATTCATCGGCTCCGGCTCAACTGGAGTAACCTTAACCACGGGGATGCAGAAGACAACCAGGCCTTGAGACAAGTCTTGGACCGGCATCCCCAAGTGTTCAACGACGAACTCGGCGAGATTAGAGGTGAGCAAGCTCAGCTCTCTCTCAAGCCGGAAGTGCAGCCGAAGTTCTGTAAAGCTAGAAGCATTCCGTTCGCGCTGAAAGAAGCAGTGGAGAAAGAACTGGAAAAGCTGGTTGGTCTTGGAGTAATTGAACCAATTTCGAACAGTCGTTTTGCCTCCCCAATTGTACCAGTGGTAAAGAAAGATGGCAGCGTACGCATATGTGGGGATTATAAAGCATCGTTGAACCCGTGCTTGAACATTGACAACTATCCCTTACCCAAGATTGAAGAAATCTTTGCCACTCTCGCGGGAGGACAAGTGTTCTCCAAGATCGACCTGAGTAGAGCATACCAGCAAGTGGTAATGGACAAGGTTTCCCGCGAGTACCTCACACTCAATACGCACAAGGGACTGTTCGCAGTAAATCGCCTAGCATTCGGAGTTGCGTCTGCGCCCGCGATTTTTCAAAAGATTATGGACAACATGTTGAAGGGACTGAAGGGGGTAATATGTTATCTAGATGACATTCTGATAATGGGGGACAGGACGGAACAACACCTTCAAAACCTAGATGCGCTACTAACCCGGTTGCACGAAAGGGGAGTGCGGATTAAGGCAGAGAAGTGTGAATTTTTGAAACCGGAATTGCAGTTTCTGGGTCACGTTATCGGTAAACATGGAATATCAGCAACGCCGGAGAAGGTAAAGGCCGTGCTAGAAGCCCCCGTTCCAATCGATAAAAAGCAGCTGAGAACGTTTACGGGCATGGTAACATACTACGGAAAGTTTCTGCCGGAGTTATCGACGGTAATATTCTCGCTGAATCAGCTGCTTTGCAAAAATGCGCCGTGGGTCTGGAGTGAACAGTGTGATCTGGCGTTTAAGAAAGTGAAAAGATTGCTTGTAAAAGCGCCGGTGTTGGCACATTATGATCCGGAAGCCCAGCTTGAGGTAATGTGTGATGCTTCATCATACGGGTTGGGCGCTGTTCTAGCGAAAGTGGAAAAAGATGGGTCCAGACGGCCGATCGTGTTTGCATCGCGCACGTTATCACCGAGTGAGCGGAACTACAGTCAGCTAGAGCGAGAAGCGCTAGCCTTAGTTTTCGGAATTACGAAGTTCCATTACTACATTTATGGCAGACAGTTCGGCTTGGTAACTGATCACAAGCCTCTACAGACGATTTTCGGCCCGAAGACCGGGATACCAAGCATTGCCGCAGCCCGTTTGCAGAGGTGGGCCATTAAGCTGTCGGCCTATCGTTACGACCTGATCTACCGTTCGGGCGCAAGCAACGTAGAAGCAGACTGCTTGTCGCGTCTACCACTTCCCCGGAGCGGCGAAAAGGAAGACGACGACGAAGTAACCGCCTGTTACGCACTTCGGTGGGAAACTTTCCCTATAACAAACTCCGACGTCGCGAGGGAAACTTCACGAGACCCGACCCTACGTCAGGTACTTCACGCGGTTACAGGACAATGGCCCGAGCGCGTTACGGATGAAGGGATGAGGCCGTTCGTTTCGAAAAATCTGGAGCTGTCGGTGGACCGAGGATGTTTGTTGTGGGGAATGCGCATTGTGGTTCCCCCATCTTTACAGAAGACAATCCTGGACGAGCTGCACGAAGGACATCCCGGCGTGGTGCGGATGAAGGAAGTGGCCCGCAGCTACGTGTGGTGGCCAGGAATTGACGCCGACCTGGAGAACACCGTGCAAACGTGTGCGGCCTGCCAGCAGCAACGGGCGCTGCCTACCCAAGCTCCCCTTCATCCGTGGGCTTGGCCTACAAGGCCATGGGCCCGGCTCCACCTGGACTTTGCTGGCCCGTTTCTTCAACGCAATTTTTTGGTGGCGGTAGACGCCCATTCAAAGTGGCCCGAGGTGTTCCTGATGCCCTCGACCTCGGCAGAAGCCACCATTGGTAAGCTGCGTGACCTCTTCAGCCGTTTTGGATTGCCAGAGGTAGTCGTGTCAGATAACGGGCCGCAGTTCTGCAGTAAAGAATTTCAGTCATTCCTCAAAATGAACGGGGTAAAACATGTGCGATCCGCTCCTTATCACCCATCAAGCAACGGGTTGGCTGAGAGATTTGTCAGAACAGTGAAAGAAGCCCTTCGCAAGGACGTCAAAGGCCGATCAATTGAAGAGAGACTGGCCAGTTTTCTTCTAGCTTACCGGAATACGCCACATGCAACTACCCAGCACTCTCCGGCTTCACTTTTGATGGGGCGACCCCTTAGAACCCGTCTGGATTTACTGAAGCCCAGTGCTCGTTCAGTGGTAGAACAAAAACAGTTCCAACAGACACGCGGTCGAAAAGAACTTCGGAGATTCTTCGCCATTGGTGACAGAGTGTTTGTGAAAAACTCTAGAGAAGGTCCAAGGTGGCTGGAGGCGATGGTGACATCACGCACGGGACCAGTCTCTTACGTGTTACAGGTGACTACACCACGTGGGGTCATGGAATGGAAGAGGCATCAAGACCACATACGTCCAAGGGAGGCGGACCGAGAGACAACGTCTGCCAACCACAATCACTGCGACCGTAGTGAGGCTCCCTGGCAACCGTCGGAATCGGCGACCGGTACTGAACCGTGCGCCGGGCAACTCCATGATCAAGCACCGGCCATAGCTGCTGACGACACAAGAGAGTTTTCCACAAGAGGCGACCCAGAACCACCCGGTTCTGAGGACCCAGATCACGACGCAGGGCCTTCGCCAGGTGACAGGAGCAGCGGAACCTCCACGCGATCTCGGTACCCAACAAGGGAAAGACGTCCCCCAGATCGGTACACACCAACGCAGTGACTGTGCCTACGCACCTTGTGGTTTTGTGTCCTGGACTGTTAACTTTTCCAATTATCTCTGTTTAAAAGCAAAACCGTTCTAGTTCTAAGTGTTAACTTGTGTATTTAAAGCATCATCTAGGGAAGGGGGAATGTAGTGTTTGTATTCCGATAGCAATCAGCTATGTCATCGCCACGTGTCTAAGCTAGGGCGCCGCCCCCCTTCCCTCTCGTCCTCTTTGCTGATATAAGCACAGCACGGCTTTTGACACGGGGAGTGTTTTAGGACCAGCGGTATGCGCGGTCTTACGGCTGGCTGTCAATAAAACCAAGTTGTTGTTACTACTCGGCTGGTGTCCCACTTCCAAGACACAACAAAAACTTTATATGCAGTCTCTTAACCATGGCGTAGTCCCTAGCGATTGGGTGGTTGGGAAGGTGGTTCCTTTACATAAATCTGGCGAAAAACAAAACCCATTCAATTATCGACCAATTTCTTTAACAGGTGTGCCATGTAAAATATTTGAACACGTCATTTACTCATAGTTGATAAATTATCTTGAAACTAATGACTTCTTCACAAGTTCACAACATGGCTTTAGAAAACATTTTTTATGTGAGACACAGCTACTATCCTTCACGCATGATCTCCATAATTCTCTTGATAATCATAGTGAAACCGATTGTGTTTTTTTAGATTTCTCAAAAGCCTTTGACAGAGTTTCCCGCAAACTCCTTCTTCATAAACTACAATCACCTAACATTGACTCCTGTATATTAAATTGGATTCATGCCTTTTTAACTAACCGCCTACAATTCGTTACAGCTAATAATACAAATTCGTGTACTGTTCCAGTAACCTCGGGCGTCCCACAGGGATCAGTGCTTGGTCCGCTCCTCTTTCTTATTTACATTAATGACTTGGTGCAGAACTTGTCGTCTTCTATTTGCCTCTTTGCTGACGATTGCGTAATCTACCGGAAAACAACTGACATATCTGACTCTATTCTTCTACAATCTGACCTTAATCGTATATCACTGTGGTGTAACCAGTGGCACTTAACACTAACAAATGCAAATCGATGAGGTGTCACGTGCTCAATCGGTGTGTCATCTAAACAATAATCCCCTCGCTTCAGTGTCTGTTTACAAATATCTTGATGTTCATATAACTTGTAACCTTTCTGGGAAGATTCATATTGAATACGTAATTAACAGTGCTAACCGTATGTTAGGATACTTAAAAAGAAATTTTTTCCTCGCTCCGTCTTCATTAAAACTAACCATGTACAAAACCCTAATCCGTCCAATATTAGAATATGCTACTGCTGTGTGGGACCCCGCTCACTCGTCACTAATTGCTCATGTTGAATCCATTCAAAACCGCTCAGCTCGTTTTATATTAACAAACTATCATCGCACTGTCAATGTTACTACCATGAAAAATAGTTTAGTTATGCCATTACTAACTCACCGCCGAAAAATCTCTCGTTTGTGTCTTTTTCATAAAATATTTCATCAAAATGTTACCCTTCGTCATAAACTAATTACTCCACCATTCTACATATCTGCTCGCATTGATCGTAGCCATAGGGTTGGTATTCAAAATATTAAAACTTCATTATTTCAATATTCTTCTATGCCACAAACATCTCTAGACTGGAACCACCTTCCCGCCTCAATTGCTAACATAACTGATATTGTTATGTTTAAAAATGCTATTACTAATATGTGCACTTTATAGTTAATATTTTACACCTCTCTCCCCTCTTTAATGTACTCACCTTGAGGGTATTTGAAATAAATAAATAAATAAATAAATAAATAAATATATATATATATATATATATATATATATGTGTGTATGTATATAAATCCATTTTCTTACCGTGCTTTTAAATGAACTTTGTCGACAGCATGGGCACAACACGCTCTTGCACGCACTGCTGCACCCAAACTACAGCATGGGGTGAACCACTGAACAGGTGCAGTGGGACGCCCTAAGCTTTTTGGGGTACCCGCCGCGTTGAGATCCTTTGTTCTAAAACTCAATTTAGGATAGGGTACCCCAAACAATTGAGACTTCCTTTTCCAAAACTCTGTCACAACGTTAAAAAAAAAAAAAAAAAGGATTTTTTTGTAGCTTTTTTAATATATGTGTCTGGTAAGTAGCGGAAACCTTTGCCGCCAATGACGGAATGGCGCCACACCCCCCGTCCTAAGCACGTGCCTGCGAAGACAAAAGAAACGGAACAAAGAAACAATATGTCCGCGCTTAGACCACCAAGTAACCAGAGCCACACATGCCGCCGGCGTTGTCGCTTTGTTCGACCATGCCCGCGGATCCGGCGGACGCAATAGTCTCAAATTTCCTGGCCTGAAGTTTGTGGCAAGTGAATTCTGGCCACTAAAAAAAAAAAAAAAAAAACGAGAAACGACGACGAAAAAAAAAAAAAAAGGAGAGAGAGATGGCGGAGCATTTTGCGACACAAGTCACGCGTCGACGCGGGCCACATTCAGGCGGGACAGTGTGTCGCCAGCCGGTTCAGTTGACAGCCCCACGTGTCGACCAGCCGCCTTCTGGCAGTTACAGTGTCTCGAGTTTCTTTCGGGTGAGCCTCGCTTCGCTGGTTGGCATGGGTCGCGCAACGGAGTCACTTTTTATACTACTAGTTAGTGCTGCGCAATTGATACATTATTCTACCGATTGATCGATTAATTTTTTTAACCGTTTAATCGGAAATATTTTGACGGAACGAAATAAAGCAAAAATGGAACATTTTCACCACGCGTATGTGGACGGATACACCTGTATGGAGGGCAGACCTTAGTTAAAAATGTAACCTAAAGTAAACTGTCGGGGCCAGATATGTAACTCCAGACGAGTGGAGAAGGTTACACGTGTCTCGGGCTCTTCAACGCCGTGCGAGTGTACGTTTAGTGCCGGAGTACTATTGGGAACAATCGAAGGAAGTAACTATTGCCGGAGAATATCGACGATCCTCTTTGTCTCATGCAGTTGAAGTAAGAATCTGTCAGTGTGAGCGTCTTTAAACTGTTCTCAACTACACATCGAGGTTAATTCGTAATCGAAATTCTATACTGCGCCGTTTGTCACATATTAAACAAAAAAAAGCAAATAAAAAAGTATCCCGAAGGAAAAATCCATCAATGTAACCCTGTTTGGCAGTCAATGTTTTCTAGTGGACCGCTGACTGTGCCTGACTGTACGTCAAGCATGTCTGATTGGCCAACAAGTTACTTTGACCGACAGTCAAACTACAGTCAGACTCCACTTGTCGGCTTTCTGATGGTTTCCTGGTGGCAGTCGGCTGCCGCGAAATGCCATCAAGATGTCTTGGTGGCGATTCTGATTGTACATCGATTGTCTCTGACTGTACGTCAAAAAGCTTTGACGTGCAGACAGACGTACGGTCAAAGGACGTAAAGTTCGTTCGGATACCACAATTTCGTCAAATCTGTGATTACGAAAAATAATCTATGCACAAGAAAACGATTTCGGGACGTGAGCCCATAAAACCGCTGATGTTAGAGATATGACACGCAGCCGACCGACAACCTTGATCAGAAGCCCGCCGAAACGCCGAACAAGCCACTTCGCTTCGCCCATAGAGGCTTCGCCGAGCTTTCATGAACGATCGCTCTCGACTCGTTTTGTTTGTCCGCTTGCTCTAAACTGTCGATCCTGCCCGGGCTCTACAATGTCTTATGTTTTAGTAGAATTTCTACTCGACAAGACCGAGCCTGTTGTGAGTTCCGAGAATGTAAGGGACTTCAGCGGTGTAGTTGAAGACGACAAGGTGTACAGGTCTACTGGGCCGGAGACGCGCGAACAAAAGGATCGTTCTACGACGCGAAAGTACTCTACATGGCAGGTGAGTAGAACTGAAATACGGCGAGTGATGTACGAGTGCTTTGCATAACATGCTGAATGCTTAACTGCATTTGCAGCCGAAGCATCTCGTATAAAAGGAATGGTCAAATCGAGTTTCCAAAGCGATGGCATAGCATAGGAGCTAAGGTGTCCGATTTGTACGCAAGTGGTCGCGAATTCGATCCGCGGTGGTCCTGCTTTTTTTTCCTTTTTTTCTCGAACATTTTGTTTTATCGAGGCATTTGGCGATATTTATGAGTGCGTATAGCTTTACTCTTATATAAATGCTGCCCTTGTTGATGAAATTCGCTTGGCAGTGGCAGTCAGACGTCATCTGATGGAACATCAGATGACGTCTGATGGTCCATCACGTTCCACCAAGGCTGCTGACTGGCAGTCAGTGTCCCAAATTACGTATCTTGATGGAATTTTCAATAAGGATGCATTGAAATGAACGACATTAATCGAATATTTAATCGATTAAAGGGTGGGGATTAATTGGGTTACAAGTTTTAATCGAGGCACAGCCGTACAACTGGTTCATGTTCAGGACCACTGTAGGAATAGTAGATAAATGACTATAATACAGACACAAATGCATGATCAAAATGGCGAAAAATCTAAATTAAAATAAACTAACGTGTCAAGGGTATACAAACAAAACAAAATCACGTGGTAAAAAGAAAGATGAACAAGCAAATCAATGCCGGGGAGGGAAGGGGGGGGGGGAAGCCGGAGTATCGCCTTCTTTTTTTCCTCGGAGCTAATTCCCCATTGGGAAGTTAGCTCCAAAATAGGAACTTTTATCTTGTTGCTCAGGGGTGTCTATTGATGATGGTGATCGACAGTTTGACAATGCCTGATTTTATATTAAATCAGCCGGACGTCGGCTCTTGTCCTCGTCATACGTGTGTCTTTTTTACGGCCTCTTTCAGTTCGCGCCTTTAAACCTTTTAATCCTCATTGGGGAGTTGCGGGATAGCGCGATTGCGGAGCGCCGGGTTCACGACTGGACGTATGTTTCGCTTTGCGCTTACAATATGTGCACCTTGTATTAATGCACGACAAGCACGAAGCTCCTTTAACCATGGCTCAAAAACTCGCGGGGTTCCGAGAGATCCGGGAGACGTACGGCGGCCCACGTGCAGTGCATCGCCGCCCGCAGCGTGGTTGATGCCATCACTGAAATCGTACGATATTTTTGCCGTCCGCGGCACGAATAGTGTCTATTGCGGACAACCGCATTACACTACGTAGCTTCCTCTGAGAAGCAGCGGACAGGCCTCGTGGGATTATCTCAATGGACGCCACTGCGATAAGACTGAGGCAAAAAGAAGGCCACAAAAAGGCTGGTGGTGACGTCATGCACAACCGGGCTTTCGAACCCGTTTAATCTGTTCCCAAATATAGGTGTCCTGGAACGTCCAAGAGACCCATCGCTCACTCAAAGACGCCTCCGCGGATAATAGCCTGCGACAAGCGG